AAGTGATTGACGAGTTAAGGTTCGTCTTGCAGAGAGCTAGTATATATGTATTATATATATATATATATATATTGTGGGTGATCTGTTGCTGTTCTGGTAGAGTTGTGGGTAAAAAAAATATATTTTAATTTGTTGAGTTTGTCAGAATCGTTCACTCTTTTATTTTGAAATATTTTACGTTGGATATGAAATAATCAGGGTATCGGAGAAACTTAAATGTATTTATAATGTAATTTTCCTCTTCGTGTAAATACTGAGAACTACAAATTCTGAAAAAAAAATATAAATATATAAATATTGATAGCTAGAAGTTCTCTTAAATATACAAATTTATATATCATTCTTATATATCGGTCTTCTCTCTTTGGCTTCCTCAGGTTAAAATGAAAGAAAGACAAAACTGTATGTAAGGAAAATGTCTTGGGTCTCTGAGGATAAATAGCGGCCCTAGATCAAATTAAATTAGATAACTTATTAACCCCAATGTCCATACCCAAGAGTGTGGCTGTCAGCCTGTTTGTTTGTTTGTTTTATCTGTATCAGAAGTGTTTGGTGCTGTTGGATTTTAAATCAGTCCGCCGAATAAAGAAACAGACAGACATTTTCTTGAGTCTGGACATTGTAGATAATAATCCCCCAAACTCTCTATATATTTAGTTTATTATTATCATTGTTATAAAGATAACTTTGAGGAGGGTAAGTCTTTTGTAATTTGTCTGTTTCTTTGGATATCTTGAAGATGTTTGCTAGGTTTTGATATGTAACTCTTTACACGTTGCAAGGTTATGGTATTTTGGTATTAGGGTATTTTGATCTGATTCAGTCTTCCTTATCAAATCATCTATTTAAAGTTGTCTTGAGCGACCACTCTTCTAGATCTTTGCATTAATGCAGGTGTCCACCTCTAACCTTGCACCTACCAAAGTCCATAATTTTCATCATCGACCTCTCCGGTGGCATCGATTCTCAACTCGGTATCAATTTTGATGGCATAACTATTTTCTTCTATCTTAATGGTAAGTCTGATTGGTTGGATAAGGTCAAATTTGTATCTGATGCAAAAAATAACCCTCAATAAGTTGTTAACTGAGGCAAGAAATGGCTTGTTCATTTTAATCCTCCCTCCCCAAATGAAACGACTCTCTTTTAATCACCATAGAGAAACTTTCTTCGTCTTTCATCAGCATGGCGGATGCCAACCTCGGAGAGAGTGACACATTGCACATTCTCATGGTTAAGTGGAACGATTATATTGAATCAATATCTAGGTCTGCTGCTAGAAAAGTTGGTTCACTGTGTTGTGCTAGACAATTTTTCTCGCCAGAATCTATCTTACATATTTAAAAGTCGACCATTCGTCCTTGCTTCGAATATTGATGCCATATTTGCTCTGGTGGTCCTGCTATAAATTCAGAGATTCTTGATAAAATCCCCAAAAAGGATTTGCATTGTTATTGGTTCTGAAATGGCTAGATGCACCCGTAAGGTCTATGATAACAGCTTCTTCTCTTGCACTTCTTGCTTGTAAAACCCAGTCCCGGTTTCTTGCTTCCTAGTCAACAGGGATATTTAAAAATTTAAATGCAATGTCAATCGTTATATTCTGTCTCCTTAATTCTTTTCATGTTTTTTCTCCTTAATATTGCTTTTTCTCATATTCTCTAACACTCAGTAACCTTGCTTTCTTAGTAGTTTTATTCCCTTGCTTGGGGTGAAATGATTGAAAAAACAGAATAGAACACGTACAAACACTGTTTTATATATTTGGGAGATATATATATATATATATATATATATATATATATATATATATAATGCATGTATGTTATGGTAATTTATCCACGTACGCATGGACTCTCCAGCTATAAATAGGAGCAGGTACTGCCTTTTTGGAGAGGGAAGGTTCCACCAGTCAGCTCTGACAGTCGCACCGAACATTCTTGCTGTAAAACTCTCGTTTGTATATGTTTGTGTTCGTGTTTCTGTTAATATATTTGTTTAACTCACTTCAATGCATTGAATATTGCTGTTACATCTATGTATTTAGAGACTCCTGATAAAATCCAACTAAGAATCTGCAATGTTATCGATCTTGACCTGGCATCTTGGCTTCAGTCACTTTTTCCCCACCGTAACGTGGCTTCCCTGTGTCTTTTCTATACATATTCTCATGCTACTTCTGACGGGCTTTTCTCTTTGGTACCAAGACTTCACGAATTTAAGCTCTGTACTACATTGGCACCCAGATCTCATCATTTTACAACTGAAATACCTAGATGTAACCGTAAGTTCTATGTAAACAGTTTCTTCTCTCGCACTTCTCGCTTGTGAAACTCTTTGCCGGTTTCTAGCTTTCCAGTAAACTTTCTCTGCTTAATAATGCTTTTACTTTTTATTATATTCTTGCCTCTTGCATCTTAGTGGCTTTATTACCTTGCTTACATCGATCAGGATCAGGGAAGAAGCTTAGAAGAATTAAGTTACATTTTTTTGTTTAAGTATCTTAAAGTATATGTTATGAATCGGTTTAGACTTGAAATTAGAGTCGGTCGTTAATGCAATGTAGCGTGGCGTGATGTCAAGCGGTTGACTTGCAATTAGAATTATAAAAGCTTGAACTCGTGAACGCCATTATTGAAACGAGTTTTGCTTATCGATGACATTTTTCTATTAAAGCAGCCAACTTCCATTATTTGTTGTCATTTTCTTATTATTTGAGTGATGTCAAAATTGTCTTCGAATATCTGATGTAAATTATAAGAAGCATTATGGAGATGATTGATGTGGCGGAAAATTACACTCTGCTGAGAAAGATGGCAAGTAAGTCGGCGAGAAAGTGATGCGGCGATAAGACCAATACTATATATACATTATATATAGTCATGTTTTTGGTCCATTTTTATTTTTTTATAATCAATGTCACTGTCTCCTAACAGACAATTAAGTTAATATATCAGTGCATTGAGATATTCACCAATATGTCATTATATATATATATTAAAAATTGGACAAATCCGACAATTTATTAAAGACATTTTTATGTTTAACATTCTTTTTATAGATACAAGTATTTAAGTAAATGCTCTGTTTATAATAAACAGCATTAAATAACATTTACCGGCCTAAATGTCCGAGAAATTTTCATAGAAAATATTCGTTCTTTGACAGGATTCGAACCTGCATCCTATACGGGACCGTCATTTACGATGACGTGCCTTAACCGACTCGGCCACAAAGGAGCGTTCGGTAGGCACGGTCGAATTTACTGCTTATAAACTTCAATGTTCCATGAATCTCGTACATTCATAACTGCTCATGGCGTATCAAATGTAAACAAATGACGTCATACATTAAGAATTGGACAAAGTACGACAATTTATTAAAGATATTTTTATGTTTAACATTCTTTTTTTGTTATTTAATACTGTTTATTATAAACAGAGCATTTACTTAAATATTTGTATCTATAAAAAGAATGTTAACCATAAAAATGTCGGACTTTGTGAG